GAGTAGCTAAACCACCCACAGACCTTCCATCTGTGGCTTGGTTAGCATCAGGTGTGGAGCAGGAATGTCACTTTGCTTCTCTTCTGACAGGTCAGAGAAATAACTCAATAACCAACCATACGTTTTTTCTTCAGCTTGTTGTGGGAGGAAGAAACACTAGCCAAGCCACAGATGGAAGGTCTGTGGATGGTTAAGCCCCACCCACTTGCCGCGTTTGCCCAGGGTGATTCCTGCTTGTAGGGAATTGTTTGTTTAGGGGAATATGAAAAATGGACTCCACAACCTACGGTATGAAACGGATCAGCCCACATCAGTACCACAGAAGCAGCCACCCTCATTCTGCCACTTGCGTATGTGAGGCCTCAGTTTACTGGGGAATGTGGCATTGTGGTGGTGGTGTGATTTGCAAAATAATGCGGATCCCTGCCAAGCCAGGGAGATCCCAAAGAGACCCACCCAGTGTGGCAGCTCGTCACCCTCCAAACTTGAGAGCTTTCCTTACCTCCCAAAAGATTTAGATGCCCCCTTCTCATGCAGGCTCTGAAGATGGACTACCTCCTTCTGAGCCCCCCCCACCCCCCGGTGTTTCTCAGAGGACAGAGGTGGTACTCTGACCTATGCTATGGCAACCCAGACCATGTTGGTATGGGGGAAAGATTGCGCCCTCAGTAAATTTAAACAGTTGTGGCAACATAAAATAATTGCTGAAGGTTTTGTACATGGATGAGTGATATAAGAATTATTATAATTGCCCTACATCTCTGTGGAAGTCAGGTTTTTACAAAAGCGTATCATTTAATACTTGGTTAGTGCTTCCACATTTCATGCTTCCCACAAGCTTTGCATGAATAAAATCGTAGAAGGAATCTCTGAAAATCTGGTTTCTCAATAGCTTCTTTCTACTAATACCTTCAGATGGTTTCACGTTTCAGAATCCAATTCAAAAGTTACACCTGCTCTATCTGGTGCCTGTGAACACACAACACAATCTCCAACTAGGAACTTGTCCTGTGACTGGGGCTGTACTGACATGTATAAATGTCATATCCCTAATAATTAATTGCACAACAGTTTTCTCCTGGCCAAAGGGCAACCTTTGCACAGAAACTACGCACACAATAAGGTTCCATGTGAATCCAGTGCAGGAATGGGGTCACTCATGTTTTGTAAGAACGGGACGTCTCGTTTGTGTTCATGCTGGTTTCATTTATTTAAAAGTCTCAGGAAATCTTTGATGGATTGAAATACTGAGTAATGACAAGGTCAACCATCTCCATGAAATGAGCCATACACTAGTCACGCAATGTGATCTTCAGCTTTTTACAGCACTCAGCCCCACATCAGCCCTAAATTCTGCAGCAAAATTCCTATTTCGCAGCAGGGCATGAGGCTGACAGCTAAGTGCCCCAAGATTACTCCATAAGCCTCTAAACAAGGAATCCAATTTAGACCAGGACATAGTACACCCTACTAGCATTGCAATCATTTTACTGAATTATTAATTGAATTTTACTTGAGCCATTTACTGTCAAGACAGATAACTTCAGAGACGGTGATCTTCAAATTATTTGAAATAATTTGCTGGAAGGCTAGGGCAGAGCCCTCTCTGACAGTCTAATCCAGCTCGGAGCGGCGATCAAGGTTTTGTTTCTGTTTCCTCTCCTCTGAAGGAAATTCAGCAAACATGTGTCCAAATGCATTGCAAAACCTGGAGCAAGAGTGAATCAGTATCACCTTCTGGAAGTTTTGGCATTAGATGAGTCTGCAACCTTTCTGAATGGGTGGTATCCTGGTTTGCAGATCACTGCCTGCTCTGGTGCAAATTTTCTTACACAGAAATGACACTGGTTCTATATAGTTTATTCCAAGGGGGTATATCCATGACCTGGAGGAGGGGGTAACCAGTCTGCTGACCAGATTTGCAGACAATACCGAAGTGGGGGTGGTGGCCACAGTGGAGGGGCAGGCACTCTGGATCCAAAAGGATCTGGGCAAACTGTGGGAAGTGAGCAGAGTTGGGCATTGGATGGTGTTCAATACAAATAAGTGCAAAGTCTTGCTCTTGGGAATCAGGAATAAGTGCCATCGGCATGGGATGGGGGATAAGTGGCTGGATAGTGGCACTTGTGAAAGGGTGCTTGTTGACAGCAAGCTGAACTTGAGCCAGCAGTGTGATGCGGCAGTTAAGAGGGCGAGCGCCACCCTTGGATGTATAGCCGGAGGTGTGGCTTCCAGATCAAGAGAGATGCTGGTGCTACTCTGTAAGACTCTGGTGCACCTCAGCTGGGGCACTTGGTCCAGTTCTGCGCTCCACATGGCAAGAGGGACATAGAAAGATTAGGATCAGTTCAGCACAGGGGCATAAGGACGGCAGCCGGATTTGGGGTGGGCAGTGCCATATGAAATGAGATTGAGGTAGTGACTTTTCAGCCCGGAGAAGAGGTGACTCAGAGGGGATCTTATAGCAGCTTACAGGTGTGTGAAGGGGTGTCACAAGGTAGAGGGTTGTGGCTTGTTCTTCCCCCGTAGTGGAGCGAAGGACGTGTTCCACTGGGGCAAAGCTCAAGGGACCAGCTTTTAGCTTGGATGTCAGAAAGTACTTCTTGATGGTTAGGACCTTTAGGATATGGAGCTGGATACCACGTCGCTGGTGTCCCCCGCCCCCCTTTTCCCTCTGCCTTCCAGCAACATGGCAAAGTTGGGAGAAAGCCTGTCCCTTGAGAGCAAAGGAGACAGGGCCAGGAAGGACACAAGCATCACTGAAATTGACAAAGCTCTCCTTATCTTGGCTATCAACAATTGCGCAAGATTTGCACACCTTGGCTCAATCATCAACTCAGTGAGAGACCCCGCAGCTGAGAAATGAGAAGCTCGGAAGTGCAGCAATGAAGGAACTAGAAAAGACAATCCTGTATGTGGACATCTCACTGGGGACCAAGTCAAAGCCCATCCACACTATTGTATTTCCAGTCACTATGTATGGGTGTGAAAGTTGGAAAGTGAAGGAAGCTGACAGCAAGAAAATGGATGCTTTTGAAACATGGTACTGGAGTAGTTTTTTTGGTTTTGTTTTGTGAATACCCTGGACTGACAAAAAGATGAACAAGTGAGCCCTAGATCAAATCAAGAGATTTCCTTAGAAGCAAAAATGATTAAACTTAAGCTGTCAAAACTTTGGGTACATCATCAGAAGACAAGACTCTCTGCAGAAGACAATCATGCTAGAGAAAGTCAAAGGCAGAAAAGTGGAAGACCAACAATGAGGTGGAATGATTTCATAGCCACAACCTTGAGTTCGCAAGAATTGAGTAGGGCTGTCAAGGACTGGACATATTGGAGAGCATTCTTTCCTGGGAGCGCATGAGTCAAAGACAACTTGACAGCACATTAGAACACTTGCTTCACTCCAGATCAAAGATGTGGTATGAGAGCTGTGCAAAATTGACAATTTTCCCATCCCATCTCTATACAAAGAGAACAGACTAAAATGTGTGGGTAAAAGTTGGAAGAGAGGGACCCATTGTAATCTCTCTTCCATGCACACCAGCAGAGGCGCAAATGCAGTGATGGTGCTAGGTGCTGAAAAGATCCAGGGTTCAAGCACTTAAGTCTAAGAAATAAAAGCACATATTTGCATATGCCTATTATATGTGTGTGTGTCCGTCCGCACATATGCATGCTCTAAAGGTTTTGTGCATGCACGTTTGCCTGTCCAACGGCTCCCTGTTTCCTAAGGATAGCCATATTCATAAAAAGGGATATATGGACAGGATGGGTGCACTTGATTTCAGGAAAAACCCTAAATTGAAAGATTCAAGGAGGGAACAGCAGCAGGTGAAGCGTATGTGGGCAAATAGCTAGCAAATCCAAGGGGACTGAATGCAACAGGCATCTTCAGGGGGCCCGCACGTTTCTTTCAGCAAGTGCCCATGGAGAGCGGGGTGCTGGAACAGATGGTCTCCCAGAGATCTGGGGCTCCAACCGTAGTGGGCCGCCGCTGATACCGCCTCCGCACAAGAGTGTGTTAAGGAGCACGTGTGAAATCAGGCTAAGTGCGCTGGGCTGCCTTCTACGGTCTCCTTCTACTAAAAAGGCTCAACGCTTCCTCGCCGCTCCCCACGCCCTGTCAAGACACCTCCGAGTCACTTGCATTCCTTCCGAGAGGGAGCTTGACGGGCAGGTAGAGGTGCGTGAGAGGAAGCCAACGAGAATCCGCAGAAAGCCAGCCCACCGGCGGCCCTCTGCAGAAGAGAAGAGGGTGAAACAGTGCGGCGGCGGCGCGAGCGCTTCCCGAGCCCGAACAGCCTTCCTGCCGCAGTCGAAACAGCAGCGCGCGCGCCGCCTGGGCCGAGATTCCAAAGAGGCGCTCGCCTGCGATTGGCTGAAGCGCTCGCTCTCGAAGATGGGGATTGGCTAACCTCAGGGGAGTCCTCCGCGACCCGAGGGAGCCTTGAGCAGCCGCCGCCGAGCAAACCCAGCGGCGCCCTTGGCAGGATAGGTGAGCGCGCGCGCCCGGCGGCCCGCTCGCTCCCTCCCTCCCTCCCTCGCGCGCGCGCCTTTCGCAGGGCAGGAGGGGCCGCCCAGGGAGCCGCGGGAGTTGCTGCGCTCCGCTCCGCGATCCGCCGCGCCGCGCGTTCGAGGCGCGGGATCCAGCCGTCCGGCCGCCCTCCCTCCCTCCCTCCCTCTCCACCGCCCCGGTCTGGAGATTCTTGCCTCCAGCGAAGTCCGCTCGGGCGGGGAGGGCGCAGCGGGGAGGGGAGCCATGCGCCGCCGGGCTCCCTCCGGCCGCCCCGCTTGCTGCGGCACTGGGGGCGAGCGCTAGGCGAGAGAGGACAAAAGGCGCCGCTCGTCTGAATGCCTGTGCTGGAAGCCCCTTGGCCGGAGAGGAGAGCGGGCGAGCGCAGCGGGGGGCAGGCCGAGGCATGGCAGCGGGGGCAGGAAGGGCGTGACGAGCCGCAGTCCCTCCGCCGGGCGAGGACGAAGCCGCGCCGCCCGCCTTGCAACACATGGTTGCTGGCTGAAGCCGCCGTTTCCGTGACCGGACTGGCTCTCGAGTTGGGGCGGCGATGGACAACTTCCTCACGGAGGTGAGCGCGGGGCTGGGACGGAGCGGGGGGAGGACGGCCGCCGGGGAGGCCGCCGGATCCTGCTGCGCTTTGATGTTTGCTCGGGAGAACCCCCCTGCAGGGCTGGCTTGCACGGGAGGCTGCCGTCCTGTGTGCGCTTGCAGGAGAAGCAGCCCAGCGGAGCGTGGTCGGACTACTTTCGAGTATATATGGTTGAAAATGTAACCCGAGTCAATGGCAGCCTGTTGCTTCTTTGGGGCTGAAAGAGTTGACATGTTCCAAAAACGAGCGACGCGGCGGGGGTTGGGGGGCGTATAAGCGGCATTTCCAGTCGTTTTCTTTTAATCCGTGCCAGTGGCTTTGCAAAAAGTTTATTCCGGGGATGCTCGATCCGGGATGCTCGAAAATTGGAGCGTGGGCTGAATTTCTGATTTGAAAAGAAAAGTGGCTGGGGAGGGGGGACGATAGAAGTTGCAACCCGGGTCGGTCCCAAGTGTGTGCACACGTGGAAGTAAATGCCATCGTGTTTAGTGGGAGCTACTCCTAGGGAGGCAACCCCAGGATCGTGTCCCTAAAAGTGCATTAACTCTGATGCGGATCGTGGCCGAGGTGAGGTGTGTTTGGAGGGGGTGGGTTCAGTGCTCCCGTCCGAGGTACATCCGCGGAGGGGCCGTCTGCAGGGGATGCCAAGCCACAGACAGTTCAAGCTAATGGGAAACGAATAATTATCTTCCTTGGGATGTGGATTGCGGCGTGTTGGGTGCATTTCCGCGTCCCCCCCCCCCCCATCCAGGATGTGCGGCGTGGAGGTGGGCTTCCTTTTGTGTGCAGTCGCCTCACTTGGCGTGCCTCGCTCGTCCTCTCCTTTGTGCGGCGCGTTGCGTTTAGCTCAGTAAACCGAGAGTCCCCCCCCCCCCTTTTTTTTCCTGGTTTTGGCCCATTGAGCACATCTGTGAGCTCAGTGCCAGAAGAAAAGCGCCGCTTCTTTTGCAAGATCGCCCTTGTGTGCAGAAAGTTTATTTTAAAACAAGGACATGGCGAAGCGCCTGGCTTCTCGTGGAGAGGTCTGGAATTTCCTTTTGGAAAACTCCCGGGGCTCCCTGTGAGGGGCTCAGACGGGCCAGCGAGGGGTCCGAGGGCTTCTGTGCCAGCGGGGCGGAAGGACGAAGCAGATGCGGGGGGGGGGGCAGGATTTATATCACTTTGGTCCATTTCCTCCTTTGTCTTTGCTGTCCATTTTATAATGTCGTCCAGATGTTGTCCCCTTTTACATAAAAGTAATTACAAACAATGCTGGGAGAATCAGGTTAATTGCTGTTAAGCTGAAAAACACTTTTAGAAGTGTCTTATTTCTTGAAGGGGGGTTCCTGCTGATCTTACTATATAATGTATATTTTGCCAAGGCTGTTGGGGCCTTCCAGTAAGTCAAGCCCATTTTCATGAGATGTGGCTTCTTTTAGTGGTATGATATCCCACCGATTTCATTGGGAGACTTATTTGCTATTTTAAAGCAAATGTTTGGTTATGTTTTTCAGTGGAGTTGCCACACAATAAACACCTTTTAGGTTTCCTTTCAGATTGAAATCAGAGCTACCTAAACATGTTTAAATTGAGAACAGTATCTTTCGCTAGGCATTTAATGTAAAATTAGTTGTGTAAGGGGGGTTGTTGAACAGAAACCTCTAGTCAGGTTTACAACAACAGTTTTCTCCTCAGAGTTTAGTTTGAATTTGCTTAACTTCTAAAACCCACCTGTGCAGAACATCCTTTACATCTGAAAGTTTATAAGTTACATCGAGACTTTCTCTGTTCTAAGGATGACCAAGTCTGGATCCAGTCCTTTTTGAATAACTAATTGAATATTATAATTTGTAAAGAGAGAGAGTGTGGTGCAGTGGTTAAGAGTACTGGACTGGAACTCAGCAGATGGAAGTTTTGGGCCCCAGTCAGCTGTGGAGCTCACACTGGGTGGCTTAGGACCAGTCATTGACTCTCAGCCTGGCCTATCTCGCAGGGTTGCTGTTGAGAGAATTAAATGGAGAGGAGGACAACCTTGTCAGCATCTTTGGGTTCCTTGCAAGAAGAAGAAAGGGAAGATATAAATGCAACATAGTGATATATTAAAATGAGGTGTGACTATTATTATAGTGAGTAACCATATGTAAAAGATCTGTTAGGGCAGTGGTGGATGAATCTGAATTAAACAGCTTATTGTTTTTCGTTGCCTGGCTGAGCCTTGCAGACTTCTCTATTCTTAAATCTACAGGTAACTAAGTGTTCAATCACTGAAACGTGATATTTTGTCAGACTTTCCCATTCTCATTTCAGGTTTATGACTTGTTTATGCAAGAACATCTACATAGATATTTCAAAGAGGATTTCTTTTTTTGTTAGGGGAGGGGGCATGAGAAAGAGAGAGAATTTGCTTTTGGAAAAAGTACATAATTCTCTGAATTAGTTTGGCTAAGAATTAAAATCTCATTTTGCAAATGCTGCCTCCATTTAGAGGAAGGGTTTCTCTACTGTGGGAAGAGAGATGGTGGATGGTTTGTGTTAGGGCACTAGAAGGAAACCCGGAGCTTGCTGGATGTTGTTGGGCTTAAGTTTCCATCAGCCAACAATGAGGAAAGATTGGAATAACATTCCCACTCATTTGGAGGGACCACTTGCTCCTTATCCCTGGATTAAGGGATTAAGGCTAGCTGGAGGAGGCTTCCATTGTAGGCCTTATTCTGCATAAACATGCATAGGAATGCAGTCTGTGATACACCAAGGAAGCGTGTGTAGATGATTAGGGGTGTGAGAGGATGATATTAAAAGAGAAAACAATTTTATTTATTTATTTAAAACATTTGTATCCTACATGAGAAAAACATCCCAGGATGGCTTACAATAATATAACAATTAAAACAGCAACAAATAGCAAAAACTTATAACAATTGGTAACAACAAATGACCACCATGAACAGCAGAAACATAATATCATTAAAAATCCAAATCAAAGTCAAAGTCAACAACAAAAGCAAAAACAAAAATAAAAACCAAACAAAAACAACCAACCAAACAAAAACAAAAAACAACTGTGGATGTTAAAACTGATTACAATTTCTAATTCTTAAAATGACGGGAAAATAAAAAGGTTTTCACCTGGTGCCAAAAAGAATATAAAGTCAGTGCCAGGTGAACCTCTCTGGGGAGTGCATTCCAGAGTCTTTATTGATATAAAAGTAAAAAAAAAAAAAAAAGATTCAGCAGCAATCTGAATACAAAACAGCAAGAAGTACCTTAGATCTGCCTTTCTAGTTTAAAATTCAACATTAAGATGAATTTGAAAATACTAGGAGATGCTTAGCAATACAAGTAGGTATTTAATTGAAGGTATTGTAGAATCTCCTTTGGAGGTTTATATATAAAGGTTAGATGGGTTCCCTTAGCAATATTTTAGATATCAGTCTTGGAAGAGGCAGTTGGTCCAGTGTGTCTGTCTGAAATGACTGGTGTATATTTCAGTTAAAACAGTTTATGCTCTCCTTCTATTAAAAATTTCCAGGGTGATTTTGAATAGGTCATGAAACATTTTTCTGCAGTCGGGAATGCACATTTCATACTAAATGATGCTTCCTAGTTTGCCTTAAATGCTGAACTGTGTATGTCTGGAAAGATCATGTGCTACAACCTGATTCAGTGTATTTGATTTCAAAACTGCAGAAAGGGGATTGAATGTATAGATTTTGATTCTCTTCCTGTGGAAAAGGAACATATTTCCCAACATATCTGGGGAAAGGCTAGGCTGGAATCTTTTCCCCTGATGTGCTGACTTCCCATGTGCAGCGAGGGCTATTCAAATTTATGGCATCTCACCTGGAGTCTTGAGATAGACACAGGAGACCTGTGCCACGTGGTCTTCCTGAATATGTTGTGTTCTTTTTTATGTGGTAACACAGAGATGTGTTTCTATTGTGCTAACTGCTCCCAGATGCCTGCCTTGCTTGCTGGCTTTTCAGTTATTGTGGAACAACCGAAGTTTGATCTTGGACAAATGGAGGATTTTCAAGTGCTCAAATAGTTGAAGAATTGATAATGGCAGCAGTGTTCCTGTGACATTGGATTTGGCACCGGGATCCCCGCTGGCATCTAGGATCCCCTGCAGGCCCCGTCACTGAGCAACCTTGTGTGAGTCACCCAGTTCTTCCATTTGGTTCCTCCCAGGAAGATTATATCCTATGCAGAACAGGAGATTTGCGTGCCTGTGAAGCAAGCTGAGATGCTTTGACTAAATTAATAACATGTCTGTTATTAGTATAATTTTTTAAAAGTCTTGCAAAGTGTACGTGTTCTTCAGGTGTGTTTTATCTTGAAATTCAGAATGTTAAGTAAATACTGGTTCTATGGAAATACCTGGAAGAATTACAAAAGTATATTAATCACTTGGCAGTATTTTCATAGATAAGGAAGTTGAGTCATTATGGCCTAAAGTTACAGGAAATGTCACATTTACCTGGGGCCTTTCACCCCACCCTTTCTTCCTTCCCCATTCCATATTGTGCAGAAAAATCCCTCAGTGCAACATTTTCTTCTTTTTAGACCGCCTTCTGTTAAAATTTCTTCCTGCACCTCATAGTGTGCCTCCCTGTGATTGAGTGGTCCTTTTCGTCTGTCTCTCTTCCTTGCATCTCAGCTTTAATTGGTGAACTTGGCAGTTACAGTACACAAGGTTTCCACTTTCCCAGGGAATTCATATACGGGAGGAAATCTCTAGTAGCACAGGGTAAGCTATGCTGGAAAATGGGTGCCAACTCCACCCTGCTGGCTTGAAGTCCAGGGAGAGAGGACACGCAGGTCAGACGTGGTGACGTGGGCATTTTCCTATTTGCATTCATGATCTTCCTTTGAAACCAGACCTGTTCCCACCAAAGGTACCACAATCCCTACAGGGGTCTGCTCACAATTTACCCTTGGTTCTTATGCCGGACAGGCATCTTCAGGCTGAATGCTGCAGAACCTCGTGGTTATGCCATGTT